TCTACTACTGGATCAGTTAACGGATTTATTTCCAGACGTTTCGAGTGACATCGAGTTTCGAGTGAAGAAGAGTGATGGATGTCACTCGAAACGTCCGGAAATAAATCCGTTAACTGATCCAGTAGTAGAGTTTGAATTTTCTTACGAGTACGATCGCGTTATTTTGTAGATTCCGTTACTTTCATAATTCTGTACTTCAAAGGACCGACTTTCCCTTAAATGTACAAAACCAATGCCTATGTAGCCCTTCCTCGCAATCATTAAAACTTTATCATAATATCAGAAACTCCTAAGATGTAACATTCTCTATCTTATCCCGTTTTCCTCCACACAATCCTCCCGATATCTGCTTGGAGATAACCTCTCCCTATGCCATAGCACCAGGTCTCCACCACACCCTAGCCTCTACCAGGCTTCAGAGGCGACTGGAAAGAGTGGAAATTGGCCAGATAGACTGGTAACATGCCAGGGGAGCTGGTCTGCTGAAGGAGAGCGGCGGACCAACTCCCCTGGCATGTTATCTGTGTATTTGGCTAATTTCTACTCTTGTCATCCGCTTCCGAAGCCTGGTCGAGGCTATCCCCGCCCTGCCCCTCCCTCGTGTTGTCCCCTAACTTCTCCGACCACCCAATCCCACCCACACCGCCCCCCAACAATGCCGACCCCGGCATGCGTGACACGTCACTCCCTTTTACCGCGCTTCTCCTGGGTAACTTTGCTACATTGCTGGTTTTGTTCCCGGCCATTCCTTACCACCAAGTCGTGCGACTGTATACAACTTACATTCCTCCCGTATGAGGCTATCTGGCCGGGAGTCGGGGGAAGAACTGACGGGGTGAAAAGGACACAGAACACCACACCACCGACACTGCGCAGCGATCATGAACTTCAACTCAAGGAGCCCGGCTTCTCCAGAAATGATAACGCTGTCAGGACGGCGGTGTTGTGACTTCCACGCGAAGGCAACAAAAAGATAAAAACCGTTACGGTAAAAGTTTGGCGTCTACCCTCCGTGTCATGATCCGGAAAACGGTTACGAAACACAAAATACAATCATCTGTTTTGGTCTGTATCATCGCTCCTGGCGACAAAGTAGTGATGAGGTAAGAAGACATTATTAGATAAGATATGCTGCAGATCCACAAAATCCCTACCAGCTACAGGTGCAGAGTCACACAACAAGCCTCTAATTATGATATTTAAACAGGAAATGCCACAAGACCAGTTCACGTGCTTTGAAGTCCCTGTCATGTGACGTCATTGCGCCGAAACCGTCCTTTTTTTGTTCCGGACATTAATGCGACGATAAAAGGACAACCTTGACGGCATATCTTTAGAATTGTAAGACGCCCCGATCCCTGTCTGTACTCTCATCTCGCCTTACCTGTCCTATCATTACCTGTTCCACCTGCCCACCTGCGCGCACCTGATCTTATCTCTTGTTTGTTATTGTTGCAGGAGAGTTGGTATCGGAAGAAGCGCATCTTCAAAGTGCGAGTAAAGTGCAAGTTTGACCGGACCGGTAAACCTGTCCTCGTCTCTAAACTTCGCCCGCCTTTATGTACAGACCTCCCTTTTCAACAGTAGCGACTTTGTAAGTGGTGTGCGTTAAAAACTATAATTCCCGGCCGCCTTCTGTCCTATTGTGATCGAGATTATCTGCAGATCTCTGGAGGGATTTTTCTGACCTACAACTACACGCTTCGCGGCTTAGGATGTCGTGTCGGGAGACGACCGACGAGACTTTGACCCTGTTCATACCAGACTTATATTTAGCGGTTTCAACCGGTTTTTCAAAAACCGGTTTTTATTTAACCTGGTGTGAACGCAAATTAACCGGTTTTTTAGGGGTTTAAATCCGATTTTGAAAAACCACCTCGGGAGGTGGTTTTTGAGGGGTTTTTGTGGGGTTTTTCCACCGAAAAACCTGGTCTGAACGCTAAGGGTTTATTGAACCGGTTTTTGCGTCATAATTCCGGGGTCACGGGGTCAGCATCCTGGCCGTGTGCGACCTGCAAGCTTTTTTGATCGCGTTGTTTTGACCAACTTTGTTCGTTTCCACTGTTTTTCCACGTTTTTTTTCATTTTGCGATGGAATCAGCAAACGCAACCTGGTCGGCGAACGGGACGCTCCTGATACTTAAATAGGTTTGGAGAGCAGAAGTCGCCAAATTCGAAAAAGCTAGGGGGGGGGGGCGGAGGGCTCTACCGAAACAAAAAATGTTGGAGGAGGCTGATTTCTTGAAGATAAAGGATCAGTGCCGCAGTAAGGTAAAAAAAAACAACTGAAGACGGCAT